GCATACCATCCGAAAAAAGACGGGCAGAGCGAGTAGATGATTCAGATGCTTGAGCACATGCTGCATGCATGTGTTATGGACTTCAGAGGATGCTGGGACACTTATTTTCCCTTGGATGAGTTTTCTTACAACAACATCCACCATTCCAGTATTAGTATGCCTTCTTTTGGGCTTCTTTACAGGAGGAGGTGTCAGACTCCTATCAATTGGGCAGAGGTGGGGCAGCGAGTGATGGGTAGCACTGAGATAGTGCTCAAGACGACTGAGCAGAGTTAGCAGGTCAGACAGAGGTTACTGACGGCCCAGAGTTCCCGGAAGAGTTACACAGACAGGTGACAATCCGAGCTTGAGTTTCAGGTTGGAGATTTTGTCCTCCTCAGGGTATCCCCATGGAAATCGGTGATTCGATTCAGGAAGAGGGGAAAGCTAGGGCCCCGATACATAGGTCCTTTCAGGGTGACCGCCAGAGTGGGTAAGGTAGCGTACCATTTGGAGCTACTGGCAGTGTTGAGTCAGATTCATAACACCTTCCACGTGTCTCAGCTGAGAAAGTGTGTAGCCAATGAGACGACAATGGTGCCATTAGAGGAATTTCAGGAGGATGCGAGCCTGAATTACATTAAGAAACCGATTACGATCATGGATTGAAAGGTGAAGGTTCTGAGGAACAAAGAGGTACCCCTGGTTCAGGTCCAGTGGCAGCATCGGAGAGGGTGTGAGTTGAGTTGGGAGCCAGAGTACGAGATGTGAGAGCAGTATCCAGAGTTATTTCTAGATCATGACTTCACGGGTGAACTCTGATTCTAGTGGGGGAGAATTGTAAGATCCAGATTTCCAGGTATACTATTTATTTATTTATTTATTTTGAAGACTATTGAGCTACTCGACGAGTCAGCGCTACAACTCGTCGAGTAGAATCGTGATGTGCCACATGGGATTAGTGACCTACTCGACGAGTCCAAGAGCCGACTCGCCGAGTAGACACTGTGAAGAGAAACCCTAAATCTGCGGGTTTGAGGCCTATTTAAGGGGGCTTATAGCCTCATTTGCAACTCATCAGCTACTTGCCTTCACTGAGAGAAACCCTAATCGCCCTTTGAGCTTATGGCAGAACGAACAATAAGAATCAAATTAGGCAGAAAGATAAAATTTTCTCCAATCTAAAAAGATGGGAGAGTACTTTAGTATTGTGTTTATGATCATCTTAATGTTTATGGAAAAACCATATCACAATTGATCCTCAAAATACATCTTAATTCATTTGTATGGCTAAGAAGAGGAATCATGAATTGTTGAAATGGTAAAATCAAGAATATGAGTCATACTTTATTCCCAAAACAAGTCTTAGATTCATACTCCAAGATTTTAATCTTGAGTGACATAATCTTAAAAAAGATTTAAAACACTTATCAAATGTAGAGTAAAATGTTTTCTATTATTTTACATTTGAGATTGGTATGTTGTGATGTTTTGGACAAAACAAAGACCAACTAAGGCCAATTATGTGAAGTAATGGTCTTGATTAGAATTCATACTAACTCTTGAATATTTGTTTGTCAAGTAATGTTCCTTGAGAAAGTGAATCTTATATGTCAAGAGGTCAGTGGGAGTCTTAAAGATCGTGAAAGGGTCTCAAGAACTAATCAAGACTAAAACCTACTGTTAAACACCAACACACGACTTGAGGTTTAGAACGTATCATGTTGACATATTCTTGTTTATGTGCCCATTACAGTTAAAATTCATTGTGGATGTGAGTTCTTTAAGTTCTCAGCTGTTTGAATAACTCCTTGGAAGCAACGGTAGGCTCTTGTGTTGCCAAGTGGCAAGAAATTAGCATTGAACAAGTTCAATCCATATGAGTTTGGATTTGTCACTAATCTAGTCTTATGACTATGGTTATGACAAATTTATATGGATAGGAACACATACACCATAAAATCTAAACGTTATAAGGTTCTCTTCGATTAATGAAAATGATGGTGAGGAAACGCTTTCACTAAGTAGATTTTAAGGAGACATCAGTTGTGATATTTGCATTCTAAAATTCGATTATCATTACAACATCCCTTTTCATATTTTGAATTGTGAGGAACGACAAAAATTCTAAACATTTGAGACTTATTGTTGTAAGTTCTTAACTTGTTTAGACACACATGTGAGCTGTCTAATTAAAGGTGTATGAGTTTGAGAAGCCTAGATAAAGTCTTATCAAGGCATCTCATATCAGAAATCTGAACTTTGGTAAGAAAGTCAACAAAGTGTTGATTTCTAGAAGTCCAACTGATTTCAGAGTACATGTCAAGGCTAGTGGGAGCATAAGTGTTGTGCTAATAAGGATGTAATTATTATGCTAGTGGGAGCATAATCAATTTTGGTGAATGTTGCAAGTTTGCAATGTTAATTATAGAAAACAAAAGTTTCAATTTGCAAGTTGTAGAGTTTGAAAAATTGTTTTGTTGTATTTAAGGGACAGGAAATTATACTTCATTTCAAATCTAAGAGCTTAGATAGAGATTTTAATCGGATTTAGTCAAATATATATATATATATATATATATATATATATATATATATATATATATATATGAGTGTCATGTTGGAATGGTTCAACATAAGGAAATTCTATATATGGAAATGTTAATTGCATTCTAAAAAATTTGATTATGCTTACATCATCCCGCTTCATAACCAAAATTATGAGAACATGGCAAATTGAAATATTATAGAAAAAGACTGATTGAGTATCATGTCTTTATGTTAGACATTATGAATCATATCCTATATACTTCGGGTATATGATCGATTGCATATGCTATAATATTCTCATGTTCTAATTTTCTGCCAGGGGCATTAAGAGGGAAAAAGGAATAGAGCCAAAGATTGGTCATTTAAGGACAGTTGGAAGTATAGTAATGGATGGACCATATTGACATTATTATGAATAGACAGCAATCTATTAATAATGAGTTGTCATATGGAAAATATGGAAAGTTTCCATATTGGAAGATGAGAAATTTAGAAACTTTTATGCAAGAAGGATGTTCAATGGAATTGATGAGATTTAAAACCTTTAAATCTATGAAGATCGATTAGATCTCAAACAGGCAAATAAATATAAAACTGTAAGAACACGAAAATATAAACGAGACAAGTGTGAATCAAACGAGTCGAATGATTAAAACAAAATCCTCAGAAGAGCTCGATTAAGAACATCAACTGTAGAGAATTGGAAGGTTACAAGAACGATTAAAGAAACTTGGAAATACTATCGTTATGCTCTAGAATTATCGTATCAATCGTTAACCTAATATGTATGCAAGCATATTCTTATATATAAAACTTAAAAGGCTCTCGGTTGGACAGGCCCAAACCGGAGTACAAAATAACTATACGATCGAGCCTAAAAGACGCAATCTTCAAAATAATCTTCAGCCCTACAATCTCCCCCTTTGCATCAATTTGGAGCGAGACCTTCACTTGTTACTTGGGCCAGCAGCTGAAGCAGGTACCTTCTTCTTCACGGTGCTAAACAGACATTTGGTAATAGAGAGAATGGTCTGTCTAAACCGGATGTACCATTGGATCATGTCGTTGAAGTACTTGATGTCATCAGCCGAATTCTCTCTACACCGTTTGATAATTGATAACACATGCTCCAGACAAGCAGTGGTGTAAAGGTGTTTGTCAGCTAAAGCAAAGAGACATTTCTGTCCTTCTGCTCTAGTGAACATAACCGAGTTGCGTCTCGGGTCGATCTTCCCCATTTGCATTTGGTTGAGATCACTGGCCGATCCCACAGGAGCTATCTTCGGTTTCTTCTTGAAGACTATGGCGACCTCCTGATCCGTTAGGGCAACCTCCATGATGTAGCAGGCTAACATCCTTTTGATATGGTCTATTACGGGACCATATTCGACTTCATTGGTCAAAAGGATATTATACAGGACAATCCAATCATGAGGATTTAAATTCGGTAGATCTGCCAGGGAGATAAGATGAGCAGTTCTTGCAGATCCCCGAATCACCTTGAACCGAACGTTTATAAAACGACCTTCGGTGTAAGGCTTCAGCACACGAACGTTTACAATCTTCTGGGCGCTCAGCGTTTGGATGAGGGACTTCAAAAATGTTAGAGAAGGCGTGGAAGATAAACGCCTTTCGAGTCAGCGGCATGTCGAACTGCGAGTCGACAGTATTGTTGCAGTCAAACGATATAACCGGCTCGAGCCATAAGATGCTGGGAGTATCTATGGCCTCTTTGATCAAGCGTTCCCTAGTCCAGGCAGGGAAGAGAGTCTTCCGGCTCTCAAGGAGATCGTGGGCTTCCTTTTGCTTGCGTTCGGCTTCTTCAGCCTCTCGCGCCACACGACTGGCATCATCGTCAGCATTGCGACTGTTCTTTCGTTTTAACATGTCAGCAATGGTCTCCTGTCTTCATCTTCATCTTCTTCCTCAGCTATGTTTTTGCCTTTGTTCTTCACACCCGAACCCGAAGCTTGACCAGTCGAAGGTGGTTCGGTTGTGTGAGTAGTTTTGGAGGAAGGAGGTGGTTTTGATCCGTTCTTCTTCTCATCTCCCCCTTGTTTCGGAATGGACACAAAACTAGGAAGGCCTTCGATTTTGCTGAGAAGGTCCATGGCCGGAGAGAGCTTTTCAGCGAGGGTTCGCCTCACCGAGTGGTTCAGAATAGGATCGTGTGCCTCTAGGATGTTGGATAACGCCGCATGGATATCCGAAACACAAGTTTTGATCACCTCCCTTTCGGATTGAAGAGCTTCCAGCTGTTGTTGAGAGTTGGATAGTTGAGTGCTCTTAACCTTTAGGGCGGTTGTTTTGCTCGCCAGAACGTCCATCAAAGAATTCTCGGCTGCGAGATCCTCCTGTAACTTAGCGAGGCGCGCATCGATGGAGGCACGAAGGGTCGAGTTGTCGTCGCTTATATTTTGGCGAAGGGCAGCGAACGAAGTCAACTCCGTTGAGACGAACTTGGCCAATTGCTAAACAATCGGTTCCAAAGTTGTCTTAGCGGCGTCGGCGCTTTCCTGCAAAGACTTCAACAGGACAGAAGCGTCGGAGAATAGTTTATCGACTTTTTCGGTCGCAGCCTCACAGGCTCTGGTTGAGGCGTCAATCGCAGCACTTGCGGAGGCTACCGAATCATGTTGAGCCCTGGAGAAGGCATCAACATTTTTCTGAAGTGCAACTTCAGATAGAGAGTACTGCTGGTTGCAAGAGGAGGCGAGAAGTAGATCAACCTTCTCGTGAAGCTCTTTAAGATGCTTCTTTGTCACTGGAGCATCATCCTCCTCGTCACTTTGAACTTGAAACGGACTATAGTAGACCGAATCAAAGTTCATGTGTTCACCACCAAGGTAAGGGTTTTCGCCATCAGAGGCATTTTCTGGAGATGGAGGGGGTGATGAAGCTGGGGGTGTTGTGGTTGGGGTATGGTTAGGTTGAGTATTGGGTGGTGGTTGAGTGTGGGTAGGTTCGGTTGTTTGTGTTTCGGTTTGTGGTGGTTCAGTTACGGGAGGGGTTTCGGTTACTGGTGGTGTTTCGGTTGCAGTTGTGAAAATGTGTGGTGGTATAGGGAAAGATGTTGGGGGAATAGTGGGGTTTATGGTCGGAATGGAAGTAGGAATGGTTGGTGGAGGTGAAGGAACTGGTGAATTGTGAAGTTCCACCTCTGGGGTAGGTGACCGAGGTGGTGTGTTGCCTCGTTGAGGGGATTCGTCTCCTTGAGAGCCGTCAGAACCCGAACTCTCGCCCTCAGAATCACTTGAAGAAGAGGGAATAACGAGCTTGCGCTTCGGTTGTGTCTTCCTCCTCTTCGGCTGTGGAGACTGTGCAGCCTTTGTTTGTTTCCTCTTTTTGGGAGAAGGACCCTTTGGAGCCTTGGTCGCTTGCTTCCCTTTGTCAGCCTTTTTGCCCCTGTTTACCGGTTTGTCTGCATCGTGGATAGACCTGAACATATCCGGTGTCAGTTCCCTAGGACCAGTTGGCCTGAACTCCTTGATCGTCCGAATCAACCTGCTGTCAGAGGGCACGTCGCGATACATTGTCTCCGGGATGGAGCCAATGAAAGAAAATTTAGATGCATCTGAGACGATGATCTTCTTGGTATGAAACGTACCAACAGAAGACATCGATGCACCGGAAGCAGTGGGGATGTCGAACTTGTTCATCGCCCATTTTGTAATCAAGATCCAGAACCGGGCCAACGACACCTCAGAGTGGCGTGATGATGAAGAAAGGCTCTGGATGAGCTGTTGCCATAGGACCAACCCATAGTCCAGGTTAATCCCGTTGTAGACCGCGTACATGATCGATAGGAAGAGGCGACTGGCACCGTCGGATCCTGAACTCCGTTCCGACAAGCCCTTGAAAAGGACTATAAATAAGCCGTTCCAATGTGGCGGCAGGCAGGACTTTTTGAACTTAGCAACAGAGGTGAGGAACTCTGTGTACCCCATGTTGTAAAACATGCTAAACAAATGCCCAACCGGAATCGTCTCCGGATTTATTCTTGATGGGTCAACAGCCAACCCAAGCATGGTGCAGAAACGCTGTCGAGAAATAGATGTCTTGTGTTCAACAATCTCAAAGAACACCCGGTCAACTTCCTTGTCATAATAAGCAGTCGCGTAAACCTGTGATAGGGCCACCATGGGCACAGGCTCGATCCTGGAGAGAGCGGTGGCGATTTGGGAGTACTTCAGGCACTCGATGATCGGCGACATGTAGGAGTCGTACGCCAGAGGATTGAGATCGATCACCAGGCATTGTTGCGGACGAATGGGAAGGATTTGTGATGTAGCATTAACGGAAGAAGATTCTGCCATTGTTGAAGGTAGTCGAAGAAGAAGATGAACAGTGAAGCTTTTGGGAGGTTTTTGCTCTCTAGAAAATCCGGAAGCAGTAAAAAGGTAAATGGTGTTGTAGACTGCCTTTTATAGTGAGGGATTGGAGAGAGAAAAATCGTTTCATATCTTCTATGCGATGATGACGTAGGAGAGATAGTGTCAGATTCCTAGGATCACGCTACCCAACAAGCGCCGTTTCAGAAGAAAAACGGTTCAAATCCACACGCGCCTTTAAATGCCAGAAGGATGTCGCTTGGATTTCGCACACGCGTCCTTAATGTCAAAAAAAGTAAGGCCGTTTCAAATTCACACGCGCCCACTTTTTACCGTCGTTTGAATTTTAATCCTTTGAACTCCCGCGGAGTCAGCAACCTTTTTGTCTTATCCTTTTAAATGGCAGCTTTTGAATTAAATACCGACGTGGATTGTTTTTGACCACAGCTTCATAATTAACCACCAAGTAATAATACAGCCTGTAAAAATTAGTAACGGAATTTTGGAAAATCAAAGATTTTCGTGCAAAGAGTGTAAAAGAAAAAGAAATAAAGCAACTCTTTTAAGGATTTTCTGTGATGTCAATAATGACACGAAACTGATGATCACGGGCACGAATCTCTTCCTTCAAGGTCAAGAGAGACCTTAAAGTGTTAGTGTGGATTCCCGTTGAATTACGATCAAACATTTATTAAGAAATGTTGAAAGGCTTCTTTTAATTAGGCTAAATAAGGGTGGCTTTCGCTTTGATTCATCAATTCTATTCTTGAAATAAGAAAGAAAGTGAACAAAGTACTTGTGAGACCGGTGTAGCCTGTTGAACAAGTAGGTAGGAATTTATTTTAAATTGGCTTGGAAGAATATAAACTCTCAGATAAAAAAAAATTAAAACCTGGATCCCAAGGGAAGAAATGTTATGGTATTTAACAATTTCATAGGAACCACACAAAAGAAAATTTGAGATTTCATTAGGGTACATTTGTCAATCCTTTGGTGAAAACTTGAGCAAATTAATTGTTCACCGTCAATTCATTAGGTGTTGAATTTTGGGTTTCACTCAGCTCGTAGTGACACGAAACTAAGATCATAAACACAGATGTTGTGTAACCATAAACCTCAGTGGTAATGTCTGAGAGTCTCAAGGGCTACATTGATGAAACGAATGTAATGGAGAAGTTTAATCGAGAGGGTGTGAGAAAACATAGTACCTCTGCTGCGAAAATAAGGACCAAGCAGGAATCTCTTAACTCATGTGAGAAAAAAGTGAGGTAGCTCACGATTAGAATAAATGTGTTAGCCTTATTGGGAAGACAAGGTTTGTGTATACCAGGTCATGAAGGCTATTATTCAAAATCTTATGAGGCTTGGGACACATACAACAGCATGCTTCTAGGGACACTTAAGTAATTCATTAATTATACCCCCATAAACGAATGAAATATTTTTAGAGTTTTTGAGACTTATTAAAGAGAAAGAAGAAAAAAAATTAAAAGAAAAAAAAATAAGTAAGAAAAATAAATAAGACTTAAAAAAAACTTTGGAAAAAATATGAAAAACCAAACCCGAACGTTCGGTTGGTTTCGGTTGGGAAAATGTTGAAAAACCGAACCCGAGCGTTCGGTTGGTCTCGGTTCCAGAAAATTTTGAAAAACCGAACCCGAGTGTTCGGTTGGTTTCGGTTCAGGAAAATTTTAAAAAACCGAACCCGAACCTTCGGTTGGTTTCGGTTCAATAAAATTTTGGAAAACCGAATCCGAACCTTCGGTAGGTTTCGGTTTTGGAAAATTTTGAGAAACCAAGGAATTTAGACATGCAATTGGAAAATACTTTTAACACAAAGAAAAACAAGATTGTACAAGAAATATACAATAAAGAAAAACTACCTTTGAAGTGATGAGCGAGTCAGATGGTTTAACCGAACCTGAACGTTCGGTTGGTTTCGCTTCTTACGTTTGAGGTTGAAAGGTAGTGTGAGGTACTGACTCTGATTCCATCATACCTAGCCCTTGCAATATTTTATTGAATGATGCTTCAGGAAGAGCTTTGGTAAAGACGTCAGCCAGTTGATCAGTGGTTCTTACGAAGTGAACTTCGACGTTTCCATCTTCCACGTGATCTTTGATGAAGTGATACCTCAGTGCTATGTGTTTGGTTTTAGAGTGCTGCACTGGGTTATGACAGATCCTAATTGCACTTTTAGAGTCACAATATAGTGGGATCTTCTTCATATTGAGTCCATAGTCTCGAAGTTGACTCTGGATCCAAATCACTTGTGATGTGCAGGATGCAGCGGCAATGTATTCCGCTTCGGCAGTAGACAACGACACACACGTTTGTTTCTTGGATTGCCAGCTGACCAACTTCGCGTCAAGGAATTGACAGCCACCAGTTGTGCTTTTTCTATCGAGTCCACATCCTCCAAGATCAGCATCAGAATAGGCTTGAACGAAGAAGCCTGAGTTGGAAGGATACCATAGACCTAAGGAGGTGGTTCGCTTGAGATAGCGTAAGATGTTCTTTACTGCAAGCATGTGTGGTTCGCGTGGGTTTGCCTGAAATCGAGCACAATAACACACATAAAACATGATATCAGGCCTGCTAGCAGTAAGATACATTAGTGAGCCTATCATTTGACGATAGAGCGTGATATCGACAGCCGGTTTGTCTAGAGATGGGGTAAGCTTGGTGCCGAATGCCATTGGGATTTTAACTTTTGAGTCTCCCATCATGCCAAACTTTGCTAGGAGAGTCTTCGTGTAAGCTTCCTGATTGATAAAGATGCCTTCGGGTCCCTGTCTGATATTTAAACCAAGGAAAAAGTTAATGGGACCCATTGAGCTCATTTCAAACTTAGTCTCCATCAGCTTTTTGAATTCAGCTGTTAAGCTGGGATTCGTGGAGCCAAAGATGATGTCATCGACATAAATTTGAACTATCATAAGGTGGTTACCTTCCTTTTTGCGAAAGAAGGTTGGGTCAACCGAACCTTGTTTGAATTTAGACATCTTTAAAAATTTAGTTAGCGTTTCATACCAGGCTCTCGGAGCTTGTTTGAGGCCGTACATAGCTTTATCCAGAATATAGCAATGGTTTGGATACTTTTCGTTCACGAACCCAGGAGGTTGCTCCACATTCACAGTTTCTTCGAGTTCTCCATTGAGAAATGCACACTTGACGTCCATTTGGAAAACTTCAAAGTTTTTGTGAGTAGCATAAGCCAGAAATATTCTAACAGATTCTAGCCTAGCTACTGGAGCGAAAGTCTCTTCATAATCTATCCCTTCCTCTTGACAGTATTCTTTTACTACCAAACGAGCCTTGTTCCTTATTACATTGCCTTCATTGTCCATTTTGTTCCTGAAGACCCATTTTAGACCAACAACCGAAGCATCTGGAGGAGTTGGAATGAGGCGCCAGACTTTGTTCCTTTGGAATTCGTTCAGTTCGTCTTGCATTGCTTGAACCCAATCAGAGTGATCGAGGGCAGTGTTAACTGTCTTCGGTTCAACTTTTGATACGAATGAGTTAAACATACAAAACTCAACCTTTGAAAATAAGGATGTCTGTTTTGCCTTCAGTTGTGATCGGGTCAGAACCTTTTCAGATACATCACCAACTACTTGAGAAATAGGATGATCTCTGGTCCATTTGGTAAGAGGAGGGTAATTCGGATCAAAGGTTGGGTCTAGTTCAGCATTGATCATTTCTTCTGGTTCAGATTGGCTATCATAATCAAGCGTCATATCATCATGCTCCCCCTCGATTGATGTGCTTTGAGAACTTTGAGGTTCAGGGTTTTCTTGTGGTGTTGAGCTTTCAGGCGTTGAAGCACCTTCGGTTGGAGATGCACCTTCGGTTGGAGTTGTAGAACTTGGCTCCCCCTCGACATTTGAGCTTGGCTCCCCCTCGACATGTGAGCTTGGCTCCTCCTTGACTGAAGCATTATTAGATGGAGGGTCATCAGTAGTCGATCCTCCTTCATGCATTCTCCTTGCAGCATCTTCGACAATCCGCTTCATGTGATCAACCTTGTTGTCTGCTGCACCTGCTTCTGATAGAGAAGCTTTCTCTGGTTCGTCAAAGAGTTCCAGAAATTTATCGTATAGGTTAGCGATCGAGACCGTGACTTGGCCAGTTTGAGGAAAGATTTCCCCAGCGGTATCTTCTTTGGCCTGTAGCTTTTTGACATAGTTATCGTCAAA